AAATATTACGCTGTAAGGAGCAGTTAGAGAAAGGGAGTGATGAAACAATTCGCCAAATAACAATACTAACATAAGGCGACAGTTAGAAGAGACATATGAATTTATCCAAAATAATGTTAATCTAATCAAATATTTGGGATCAAGGCAAAAATTAAAACATTTTGGTGCATTCTTTAAATGAAAACAAACAATAAACCAAAAAAAAATTCGACATAACATTTAAGAAAGTTATTGATGTTAAATAAACTGAGATGTATATATGTATGTATATGAATAAATAACACGAGTCAAACATAAAAGTTGAATAATATTGATTTGGTTAGTGAATGATATTCTAATAAAAAATTTAACAGTAATCACAATTCAAAAAAACATTGAACTACATGATTAAGTACATTACCATCTGTTTTTTAACATTTTACCAATCAAATGAAGTGAGTATCGGTTTAAAATATAATTTTTAACACTACTAGTTTATATCTAAAAGGCGTAGGAATGTCCATCTCAACTCTATCGATTTTTCAGCAGTTTAAGCATCCACATAAACAACTGATAGATGTATATATAAGAAATTAGGAGATACAACCTTGCTATGATTGGAATATGTGAAACCCACTGGATGCAAGTAGGACAAAAAAGACTGGCTTCGGAAGAGGTGCTATAGAATTCCGACCATGACGAAGAAAATGCCTCACGTAGATAAGAAGTTGCGCTGATGATCTTCAAATTACCGAAAAAGAGCTGATAAGATGGGGGATCTCACGGATTCAAAACCGTTAGAGAATTCTTCTAAACAAGGAAGTGATGACAGCATTATGCAGTTACATAGCCCCAACCAATGAATACAGTACAGACGATAAAGATCCGTTTTATGAGCAAAACAAAGGAAACATTTCTACAATTAAAGGTTAACTGGATCTCAAAAGAAATGTCGCAAATAACGAGAGTTAGAATTTCCAACACTAACGCTAAAAAGGTCTATTGCATGAAGGTGAAACTTGGAAAACTACTACGACCATCATCGAAAGTGTACAGATATTTAAAAAAATCTGTCTACACAACGTACTTCAGATACGTTGACAAGAAACCATCAACAACAACCTAATTTGGCAGAGAAAAAACCAGCTTTCAGATGAATGGGAAATTAATAACAAAAACATTATATGTGAATAGGGCAAGCTTTGCAAGATAGACCCTAACTGGGAATCCTTAGGGTACAAGGAAAAGAAGACAACCGAAAGAACACAATAGGCAGGGAATCAGAGGCAAACATCAAAACAATGAATGACACTCGGTAACAATTGAAAAGGAAAGCTCAGAAGAGAGTAGGATGGAGAGTGCTGGTTGGCAGCCTTTATTCCACGACGGGTAGTAGGCGTAGGCAATGTTAACTATACAAACTGTCAGTAATAACACAAAAAAGTGTGTTGAACGATCTTTGAGATAAATTTATATACTGCATAAATGTTTATTGTTTCCAGAAACCAAACAAAGACTAGGAAATTATATGCATAAATTTAAAATTTCGGAATATTTTACCAGTCTTATGCGACCTAAGAAGTCAAGTGTCCAACTGAAAATCTGTACGATATAAGGTTGAGTTTAAAGGAAGCATTAAACTTTCCGCATGAGGATTATATGATGCTAAAGTTTACTAAGAAAGTAATAATACCATTTGTTTCGATAGTTTATAGGAGTTGAAAATCTAAGCAACTGGATTTCCGCTTCATGACTCAAAAGTATCTAGTCGATTTCAGATTTAAAAGTTGTGTCTAATCAGATGCGAGGCTCTTGATGTTCTTCAGTGTAGGGTATGTCCTGGATAAACATTTGATCAATATTTAGGAATATGAACTATCGTCTTTCACTATCAGATTACAGATTGGTTAGCTTATAAATGTTCATGAAACGCTAATAATAACTGTGACATAAGTGCCACTAAAATAAGATACTTTAATTCAGTAGTCAGTATTTAAGCATTCAAATCATAGATTAATTAGCCGTTTAAGATCTTTCGGTCCTTAGTACAAATTACTGTTACGCATAAAATGTATTTCAAATATGTATTCAATGTTAATTATGAAATCATAATTCTTAGATTGTAATAGAAATGCAGCACAGCACTAACTCCCAAAATTATAATGGGATAAAGCGATCAAAATTTATATAAGGTCATCATACAATACAACAGTCATAATTTAGCGTGCGGAATTTTACGTGAATGGTAAGTTGCATTATTCACCCTGTGTCATCGATTATACAAAATGACTAGCCATGTATATATATATATATTTAAAAAGCAAGATTCCCGCCATAAACTAAGGTAAATATTGAATTGCCTTACTTTAATTTCATTTACTTGACTTTGGGAAGCTCGCCAAAAAGGAACAGTGCCTGTTAGATATTTATCGATTAATATTATATATATATATATATATATATATATAAGCATTCATAGTTGAGCGATAAATGGGAGACAACTTGCAGAACATACGATAAGCCATTTAAGTTTATGTAAACAACTCATAGTGAATAGCAAGTATCTAAGCGTTAAATACAGCTGTTTTCGCACACAGACAAAAAACAATTAGGTGTATTATGAGAAAAAAACCAATTTCGTTAAATTTCCAAAAGAAAAAAAAAACAACAACACTAGTTAGTTATAATTAAGTGTTTAGATTATCATTATAAACAAAGGTTAGAACAATAGGAAGACAAGTGCACAGCCGATAACCAAAGAAGAAAAGCTACTGCTTGGTTTTTTTTTTGAAAAATAAAAAACTACGAACTTCTCGAAACAATCGAGTACCTTTTATGCTCCTGGATTCGGAACAGCCACATAACCTATGCAGATGATAAAAAATGTAAATTGATTTTTGTTATTATAAACAGTAAGAACAAACTGCATCACTTAAAACACTCATAATTTTGTATAAAATAATGCAGAAGCAATTTGAAGAAAAATGAAAAATAAACGAAAAATAAGAGGACGCAGTTATATGCCAGCGATGAATAGTTAGTGCATTTAAAGATTGAAGTGAGATTACAATAGGCGGAGAAATCAAGTGAATTTTATGAATAAATTAAAATATAGAAATGTTATATTATCTAAAGAAAAAATAATAATAAAAACTACAGCATTGGAAAAAAAAACACATAATATCTGTATTTGATTATATTATTAAATGCATACACATACTACAAAGACGCATGAAAAAGCAACAACAGCAACAATAAAAATTACTGAAACGTAATACAACCGCATCAATGCAGTTTATGATGTTGAATATTTTTAAAAAAAAAATTAAAACGCAGAGATAAGAGGCAATTCTGAATACTTCCTGTCTATGAGTAAAAATTGATTTCTAGTCAAATTAGAATGTCGGAAAAAAAAGTAGGCTACACAGAAAAAAACAAACTTGATAAATAAAATGACTAGCATTGAAGTGGTGTGGGGTCTTTCAAAAATTCTGACAGTTACTACTTGTTTCCTACAGAAAAAATGCTGTAGTTATTTTGTCAAGTACTTAGGAAATTGTCTTAAATAGGAAAGCAGAAATAATCTAAATAACCGATTGCATATAATAATCATAAGCTTATAAACAGCAAGAAGTGTGGAGATGATGTACAGTACTTTGTGCTGTAACTTAGGACTTCACAAAAAAAACCGGATGACTATAAGTAAAATAAAACGAATCAGTAGAATATCAGTCGTTAGAAGAAATGCAATGATGGCTAATTGAGAAACAGAAATGCCAATGTGAACTTCCAAAGCAACTGATATCAAAAGCAAAAAAAACCACTAGCTAGTAGAATAAGTTTTCTCTTCAGTCAAATTAAATACTCATAGACACAATTCGAACAGAAAAGTAGACATGATTAATTATCCAAATATGCAGTAAATTAATCAACTGTTTTGTCTGTCTGTTAACTCGGCAGCACTATTCATATTTAAAATGCTCACTAGACACGGTTTGTTTATGAATTGACGATAAGTATTCCTGTTTTGTTTCGGACTGAAAATTTAACACGCAATTTGAAATGTAAAGATAATTCACAGTGAAACTGCGATTATGCCGCTATTGAGATCATAAATAGATCTCATGAGTTTGTTTAATATGTAGCTTGTTGGAGTAGATCAGTTGAATCTACTGAAAATTCAACCGAAACAGAAATACTCTTAAATAATTGTCTTCATATTCAGGTAACAGTGTCTCACTTGAATTTGAACTAGCACATACGTCAAAAGTGACGGTGATGAAAGCACTCAACTAACAACAACAAAGTTGTTAAAACCCATTGCAGATTTGACAATTTAAAAGTATGATTTAGCCTTTAAATAAGATAATGTCATAACATGAACCAGTACTCTGATACTAAGTTTTGACTGCAATCAGTAACTTATAAATGAGATTATATTAGACAACAGTGATATTATCACACTAACTAACTGATCGTCAACAAGTCATCAAACAAAAAATAACAGAGAAGTAAACGAAGACATGATAGTAATTCATTTTGTTAATGAATATTAGTAGTGTTGCTATAAAATGAAATCAGTTTAATTTTGTTTTCTATCAATGTATGTTAGTTCATTCTTCGGTGGAATCGTATGAGACAAAGTCTCAATTGTGCATAAACAGAATTTTACTGTAAGTCAACTAGAAAATTCAAAATCTAAACTAGTCATTATTGAAATTAGACAAGTGTGCATCTGAAAAATACAAACATTCTATTCAATAACAGCACGAATAAGCGAGCACTATATAGTTGGATATGAAGTGTAAGAAAATAACTGTCAGAGTATTTATTATTAAATACTCTAAACAGTTGAACATGATCATATTATTTCACTTTAAATTAAATATACTCATTATTTTTAGTTTAATTTAAATTGTTTTACAAACCACAAAATGTTTTATTTCACAGTATGTGGATTTGTCTAATGTATAATCATATTAAACTAACAGTATAATCAATATAGTATTTTTAAAGAAGAATTAACGTGAAAACATACGTGCAGTGTTATCTACAGACTCTTTAGGCTCAGAATTTTCTTTATCAACTAAAACAATGTATAATTATTTAAAAAATTTAAAACAGATGAAATAAAACACAAAAATACACAATAGTAGTATTAATTCATTAAACTCGATATATTTTTTCTTTTTTAAAAAAAAGAACTACAGGTCAAATGGTAAATGAATTGTAGAACAAGAAATAAGCATAATGATGAGAATTTTGCAGTGATTAGTATGATTGGTAATAGTAGTAGTAGTAGTAGTAGTAGTACACCTTTAATATACTTCAACTACAAATGTTAAGAAGTACATACGAGTTTCGCCAACTTATTTAACAAGTACCGATTCGTTTACTTGGTTTTTTGTTGCTACAATATTGCTCAAACTGAACTAAATGGAGGAGAGTTCGAATCTGAAGCTTAGTGACGACAAACTATTAGATCAATTGTGTCTATTGCGTGTCCATGTGTCTCAAGCTATAAATGTTGATCAATTTAAACGAATCATATGTATTTACACTAATAATGACATCAGTAAACTATTCATAAATAAAAAGTAAACTGAGCTGCATACCAGAATTTGGGATCAGTACACAATTGAAGACCGAAAAAAAATGAGAAATCAGCACAATCATAAATATCTTCACTAAATCTTCCAGTTTAGCCAACCCACACCCATTCCCAACCCCATAAAAATATTTTTCACATGAAAAAAATTAGATTAACATAGTTTCTGGAAAAAAGTGATAAGATTCAAAATGAAAATCAATACTAATGACAGTTACAGTAGTGAGACAATACAACAACAACAACAAATAACATTTACAGACATGCATAAACAAGTCTACATTGGACACATACACACACACACACAACCAAATATTGTGATAGATATTTTTGTGAACCAAATAAAAGACGGGACATTCCCGAGTTAAATAATGACAGCATGCAATGGAAATTAATGCGCATACTACAACAATATACAAACGAGGAAAAGAAAAGATCAGAGAAATTAATGCCTTATTCATACCTTTATGTTTACGAGATTTGTTTCGGAGTTTCCTTTATTGAAAAATAGGAATAACAGTGATTAAAATAATGATTGTAATAATTACAATAATAACAATATTGATAAAATGTATTGTTGAATTGCAAATTAGTGACGTGTAAATCCTTATGTATATATGTACATATACATTATATATAATATATGTAGTCTTTTAGTGAATAATAAATAAAACGTCATTGACAAAATTCAAACTGAGCATAATGATATCAAATAGTGAATCAAGACTTTATTTCATTCATAGCACACACACACACACTGAAACGGTAGTATTGACCGAAATGATAGGTACAGTCTAAATGTCGATACACAAATAACCTCAGATAGACAGACAGATTGATAAACAAAGAATAAAAATCAATACATTTTGAAATATGCTACTTCTGACGTTAAAATATTTTCACGTTCAAATAAAAATGTGATTTTGTAGTTAACCGAGGATAATCATTAACAAGAGATAAAATCGTGTAAGTTTAATGGTAATAGTAGGTTACTTGGCATGGCAATCAATCTCAACTTTAGGTGTTATAACTACTTTTAACATTAAGAGGAACAGCCTTCAAAAACCCATTAAAATAGGGAAGTCTTGATGAATAGATACGTCAGCATAAAAAATTAACTTTTACACATTAAGTTTCAAGTCATAAAATGGCCACCTATTCGTGTTTACCATATTATCCCAGTGTTAGAAGATAATCCATAGAAAGGAGGTCGTTACGATAACACATTTGCTAAACGTGGTCTTGAATGATGTAAAAATTATAGCATCAACCGTACAGATACGTGAACTCCTCGAGAATTTTCAACAACTAACTGAACAGAGTAAGAGTTGGCCGACTCCTAAAATTTAGATGGTGTTAAGTTAAAAGAAATATAGGCGGTCATCAGCAGTAAATTGGGTATGATTTCATAATAAAATTCGATCATTATTGTACTTGATGACTTGCTGCAAATAACAAAATAGATTTTATTAAAAGCGAGGGAGATATTTGCTGCTAAATAAACTAACATTTGACTATATGATAATTTATGTTATAAATATCACTACTGAGGGCAATTAATGAATGGAATAAATTAACAATCAGAAAAAACAGAATCATGAATTCTCAAAAAAAAACAAAATTATGTCACACAGCTATGTTGTTGTTGTTGTTGTTGGCAAAAATCTAATTTAAAAAGTCATTAAACATTGGAATTAGAGAGAAAAAAAGAAGTAAATGACTACGACAAGATTAATGATCTATTTTTCGTAGGAAATATTAAAATCTTTTCATATTGAGATGAAAAAATAATAGTCTTGAAGAGAAAATAACTTCCGACAGTTGAAAATCCAAACGTTGACTGGCAAGATAATCAAACAAACAAACATAGAAGAAGAAGTGTTTTTTCCTTTTTTCTCTCACATTTTTTTTGAAAGGTGAAAAGGTGTATGTCTTACTAATGGAAGAAGATATGCATAATTTTTGTCAGTCAGTCTGTCTATTAGTATTTAGAATAGCCAGAAAAAATAACTAGTTGAAAGATATGGAAGCCGATTCAGCACAATGCTGAAAGTTATTATTATAAAAGAACAGAATAAAAAAAACATCTGTCATGATCATATTTCGATTTTAGCGACATTATTAGTAATCTTCATTCCATTTCGTATGGTATAATGAATTAGTTTATTATAAATAGTAAAAGAGAGAATACTGTTTGCCCATGCATTGAAATGTAATGAATAATGTGTGGAAAGCAAAACAGATATACTATTAGTACAGGATAAGTGATTCATGCGGCAACAGTGTTGTGGCGAAAAGAAAGGAAACTGATAAAGCAACATGAAAAAAAACAAAGTAGAAGACATTGTCGCGACTGACTAGTTGGAAATTATGCATATGAAAATGTAAAAACAGTAATCATGGGATGAAATATATATAAAACAAAAAAGTGCAGATTCAGACGAAGATAAAGAATTAATTGAATTGGTATATCATCCATCTATCAGCTTCACAATTCACTAATTGATTTCAGCATTTATGAGAAATGTTTTCTAACAATCGATCGTCAATGACCAATATTATTCATGATTTAAAAAAAATAAATAATTGGTACAAAGTGGCAACTAGAGATTTATGTGTCACACTAATCAGCGAATTTGTATAAGGGTTATGATACTGCCTAAACATACAGATCGAAATTAATGATTTACATACGGGTCACTACTGAAGCCTTTCACCCACAGGTCTAATTCACAAGGCAGTGAGTGAGACAACGTCAGGAGATGCAGTCCTGTGTTAACTGGTGAATAGCAATAGTTTCGTAAGCTGTTTGTTCTATTAGGATGATGGCGTCTATGTCTAACCTTGGTTTTGAGTCGGAATTTCCCAACTACCATATCCATCACCTCGGTTAAAGTGCTGGAAATTCACTTTTCGTTTAACGCAACTCTGTAAATGACACTGGGTGAATAAAAGGAGTGTATACACAGTTTTGTAAATTTTATATTTTCCTCAACCGTAGCTGATACCTCGACTTGGTGATAGGGCTTGTCTATCGTGGTGACCCGACCGAGCAATGTTGGCTGAAACATACGTTCCTGTAGGTCCTACTATGCAAGGCAGGTCGATTGGAGAACGATGAGACTAAAAGCAGCTACTCAAGGTCCCAGGGCGAAGTCGTACTGCTGACTGTAGAGAGGTGTGACAGCAATAAGGTGTTTCCCAAGGACAACCAACATCTACAGCTATGCTCCCTTTTCACAAGGAAGAAAAGGTCGAGCCTGGTAATGTCACACCTCACCTTACATCACGGATTTCCGTCTCCGGCGGTAAGGCTTTGTAAACCAGAACGGAGCTAACACTTTAAAACCTCTACGGTCACGCTCCTATGTCTCTAAGACCAATTCTAATCTAACTTCCTTTTCAGGTTCCTCAAGAAACACCCTTTCACGGTCTGGGCAGCCGGGAAGTAACATCCGCCCTCAAACCCGTAACAGCTCACAAGACCAAATTGGTCACAAACGATTCAAATATAGGAAACGTAGCTATATGATTTCCTCATTCTTGATCATACCATGGTACTTGAGTTAGTCACTATACACTGTGAACAGGTGCTTAATCTTTCCTAATACCATCACAACCTCTAATGTCCTGAAAATTGTATTTCTCTGTACTAATAGGGTACGATAAGGTTATCTGATGTGCGCACGCGTACCAGATTTTACGTCACGTTTGACTGAGTGATAATGGCATTTGCGTATTCCCGGTAAACGAATTTCCAAATAAGTAATCAGAAAATGAAAGGCTCACACTTAAAAGTAAGTAAGACAGAGACAGTATCAGCCTTAAACGACATTAAATGACGCAGATGATTCAAATTACAGATGATTTAAATACGAATACCCAAATAAAGGGCCTTCAGCTACATTTACATACCGCAGTACGTTTTTAAATAACATTTTAACAGAAAATAATAACTGAAATTAACCCGATAATAATACTAAATATAAGAGTTTATAAAATTTATCACATCATTGAAAACATGAAGACGGATCAAATATATTAATTAAGAAGTATCCTGAAACATTATTTCATTCCTTAATGAGTCCTCATAAATTGTACGGCTAGTTAGGTGTACATGTTGTTGGACTAGTACATATCACAGCAACTAATACCTGAAAACACCTGAATAAACAAATATTCACTACTTTTAATCTATTAAAAAGTCAACCAACCAACCAACAAACAAACTAGATATAAAAATATGAATATTGTATGAACAAGTTATTCCAAATATTCATTAAATTATATGATCTTCCATGCAAGACAATCGAAAAAAATATAACTTATACAAAATGATTAATTAGGTTGAATAAGATCAACAAATACATTTAATACACTTTCGAATTCGTTATGATGACTAAACATGAAGCTAGATGTTGATTGATGGAAACTTGTAAATATCAATTTTGATGGTTAATCATATCAACAGACTTTCAATTATTAATTGTAAACTTTCATTGAAAAACTAAACTAGATTATCATGAAATTTAAATATATATATCAAAGAACTTACTGTGAATTGTCTTGATAGTCTGTTGGTGGTCTCATATAGAAGCCATGATATGATATGTAATCCCTGAAGGGAAAAAAGTAATAAATACATGAATATATATATATATATATTTATTTATTTAAAATACAATGAGATATGATGTTTGTAATGAACATTTTACACTACAGAAACAAGTCATTGAAATAACGATAAACAAACAAACAAACAAATAAAATTTCAATTAAATAAGAGGATTTCATTATCGTTTGCTATCTCTCCCTCGATCCCTGCATAGTTGCTTATCTATAGAATGATTATTGTTAAATTTACAGAATAACACATTAAAAAAAATATGTACACATTATTTGTCTCTTGTTATTTTTTTTCTTCTAACAGATACGTGTAGTTTATAAATGAAATGAAACTAGGATGAAATCAGTGCATCATAGAAAGAATATCATACACATGATCATGATCTAACTGAAAGAAAATAAACTTTTATTGTAGTACAAATATCATATAATAAAATAAAAAAAGAAATTGAATAAAAGAAACGTTATTGAAGAAAGTACCTTGAATTTATCTAGTAGTAAGTAATGCTCTGGATTTGCAAAATTTTTATACATAGCAATAGAGATTTTCAAATCTTGCCTGATTAATTAAAATTAGTTGTCTGATTTGTTGTACTGATAAAGGAGTATTTTTAATTTAACGTATATAACAGAATACTCTACTACAGATAATCGTTAATAAGTAATTCCAAAGATAGCAGAAAACAGTTGACTGGAAGCCGTCATAACTGAATATTATAATGTAGAGGAGGGATTTGTGACACAGATTAGGTCTATATGAATAATTCTTAATAACGGTCTAATAAGAACACTTAATTAACGCAATTAGAGAAGTTAGCGTAGACGATACCAATTAACCAGGCGTAGATTTCATGTTATCAGTTAAGAATCATATTTTAAGCATGAAGGCTAGTTGGTCAAATAGTGTAGCGTAAGGTTCGATACTAGGATTTAATAGATGAATCGAAAACGCTTTAATCAAATAGGACACTTCTCCATTACATCAGTATAGAAGAAACAATCCACTTGGTATACCTGTCTGTCTATTAATCAATACAGTTACACTAGAAATACACTTGTCATATGACAAGAAAAGATGAACGTAAAAGTAGCAGATGGATTTACTGGTATCTTACAACTTCATTAAAAATTATTTTAGGCGAAATAGATGTAACTATAGTTTAGTAAATGTAGAAATGTGTTAAGTCGCATTTATTGATTCATTCCATCTATATGATCTGAGTAGCCAATTAATTTGTTAACCGAAACAATCAAAATTAGGCACATGATCAGATACGCAAAACATGACATAAAAATACACCGGGAAACAATGCAGAAATTTATAAATGAACTGGATAAAATACGTTGTTTGTGCTAACACAAATTTGCAACCACTTAACGCGTACTGGATACAATGGTATTCAATATATATATATATATATATATATATATATATATATATATGAAAAAATAGTTCTATAGATTATTTAATTGTACGAATACAATTTTGTAGCAGGTTGCAATGGAAAACATAAATTTGTATCAACGTATGTGACTTACGGTTCTTCATAATCACGACTGTATTTCTCTGTTTTACGATATAAACCAGCTAGTTTAACGGCGAAAATAATAGCAGGAATGAAAAGAAGTAGTGTAAATCCTAATCCAGTCCAAAATGCATTCTGAAAAATCAAGCAAAGAAAAGAAACAAATATTTCCTATAAAAAAAGTGAACGTGGACAGTAATTTGATGATGAAGATACAAACAGAGTAATGTTAAATGAATTAGATTAATCGTTACGTTGCCATTTTGTTCAATAGAAATCAACAGACACTAAGAGGTGAACTAATTTCCACATTAGTTAGATCGATGCATGTGACGTATATATGGATTGATTAGTTGCATAAACAAGACAATGTATGCTATTTACTATGATAGTTAGTTAGTCTGTCAAGATAGTGATATTTATGAAATTAATTATTGTAGAAAGTCAGTAATCTCAGTGATAGTCAAAAGCGATAACAAAAAAAGTAGGGCAAATGGAAGAAAAAAAACAAACACTGATAGTGCTATTCAATGTATTAGATTAATAGATGAAAATATACTTACAAATGGCATTAAAAATGTATAACAAACTGAATTAACTCCACGTTTTGCAGCAAAATGAAGTGACCGACACGGAATATCATGCCAAGTGGCTATAATAGCTAATTGTAATTCTTTAATGAAAAGTGGACGAAGCTTGATAAGACCACGATCCATAGACTGAAAAAAAAGAAATAAAGTGAAAAAGTTCATGAACAATTAACAAAGTAACAGGAGTAGTAGTAGTAGTCAGTTAAGAATATTTGACAATGTGGTATATTTCTTAGTTATCTCCACTATGAAATATAATATATCTGTGTAGAAATTATGATTGACTAACTAATGTAAACGCAAAGTAAAGCACAAACCAAATGTAATCTAGTTGGAATAATTGTGAATCAATAAGTGTTATTTATAAAAATAAAACAACAGACAGTTGGTCGTTAATTTACACTTATTTTTGCAATCATTATTGTCGTTATTGAAATGTCATAAAAAATTATACCAGACAAAATCAATTTCTCTAATGTAAACTAATCGGATGAATAATATAAAATAACACATTAATCTGGATCTTGTTTTGTTACAATTCAGTATTTTATAACATACATAAATGTGATTAAATAGAATAGATAAAGCGTCATTTATACATTTGAATTACCACAAAGTTCAAAATAAATATTTTCCAGTACACACATCTGTGATGAAATAACGTGTAGTTGTTATGAAAATTGATTACCTACACCAATCATGACCTATGTACATATACAATTTTCTATGTTTCATTTGACATTTTCCAACAAACATGTTGACAAAAATAATCAAATCAAAAGTTGAATCACACATTTTCACTAGTATTTGTATATGAATGATAAGGACTGTAAGTTAATATTTGTCCCTAGAATGATCAGCCTAGTAGAACGGTAGCCACAAAGAAAATGTGATAGTATAAATCAATGATTAAAAGAGATTAGACACTACTGGGAATAAATAGAAAATCATTTTTGAAAAAAAATATAAACATTAAAACGTCAGTACGTGCATTATTGAACACGGCAATCCGCATTAATATATGACTAGATGTGTTTTCTGGCATTGGAGATATCGTTTTCATAAATGATTTCATATTACGAGGTCAATTTGAATGATGCCAACACCCATTTACATTTCTCTGACAAAGTCAATGAATATATCCACAAGAAAACATTATTTAGTTAGCGTTATTTAAACGATGGGATCGAAGTTGTAAAATAACACCGTCAGACGCCAACTCAGTGATCTAAAGGTGCGAGGCCGAAGGTTATGAGTGCGATCCCCGTATGGGATTGTGGATTTGTACTATTGAGGAGTCCCCATATTGGAGCGAAATAATAACCATCTATGCGGTTTGCATGTTATAACGATGCTTTAACATAAATCAGTCCAAAATTTTAACGAAATTCAATAAACTGTACAACCTCTTACTGATAAAATCGTTTTTCATAAAGCCAATGTAATTGCTGAGTCAAATAAGTGTGTTTTCTCTAAATATTTATTGGTATATATCTATTTTTTTAAAAATAACAGTGTTACACATGAATGCACATGAATAAATAAATAAATTAAAATCAAGTGAAAAATATTTGTATGTTTGCATGCAAGCATGTATGCATGAATCACACTTACAGAATAGACAGAAGTTGATAACTTTTCATTGTAATTATTCAACTGGGTAATTGAATGCATCATTTGATCCGGTAAACTATTGAATCTCATAAACAAGGTGTAAATGTTACCACGAGTAGCATCTAACTGTACAGGTCCACTCATAAGGGCTTCAATATGTGTGTTTAATGAGTTCTTTAAATTTTCGGAGAAAAAAGCAAAACAATTGGTTAGTAAGACAATAACAAATGCATATCATTTAGGCAACCGAAATTAAGAATCGTAGATAAAACACTAATAGCTAATGTTTACAACAGAATGAACATATCATTTTATTGATATAAGACAATTAACCTCGTAATTTGTGCCACTGATAAAAATCCCGATAGGTATAAAGAAAACCTAAAGAAATTATATTCCAGTGGAAAGCTGTTCACTAAATCTGAATAATACAACATTTTATGATTACTTTTTCTTTATCAAGGTTATCATAGTCCCAATATAAAACACTTAGACAAATTTTGTGAACAGGAAAGAGATGATGCTAGTAGATTGAACTAAAATAGTAAAATGAGTACTAATAGAAATACTTCAACGTACAAAACTTGTCGACGTTTAACTGTTTAAGAAACACTACCCTATTGTTAAATTATTTAACACTTCTCATAGCGGCAAATGGAGTGGAAGTATAATAAAAACTACTCGTTTGTAATTAATTTTCACTGTATATCCACAGCCAATTGTAATCAACAAACAAACTAGGACAAGTGCGTGCTAGTCCACATTGTTATACGTTAGTATGAAAAAATTAATAAGATAAAAGGTAAATAAGTTGTAATAATAATTTGTAGCAATGACAATGATCAAGACTAAATATAAGGAAATGTAGTTTGAGATGAATTCAAATAATAATAATAAGAAGCATGAAGTGATATTGAAAGTCAAGATTTAATGGAAGATAAAGACTGAATGCAACTGCTTCACTGTAAACGATTCTGAACCATGTTATTCATTGTCAATAATCCCTGATCTGTCTTCCGATCGAATCAATTCAGGTAACATGTGTTAACAAATACGACTTAGTAGAACAGTCTATGACTGATCATATTTCTTGGTTTGTTTGCCTTAAGTTTTCTTCAAATATCCTACTGCTCCAGAGAATGTTGAGGTTTGATGCAGACGTAACACATGTCTCAAATACCTCAGTCAGTAATGATTCACAGTTTTATCACTTTTGTCTAGTAATCTAGCCTTAAAAAACCGTACGAGAGCAATAACGTGCTAGACAATTATGATCAAATAACAGTGACCTATATAGGGAACGTTATTTTGAGTGTCTAATACATCTGTAGTATACATTATAAATACTTATCACTAGCTGATTGAAAAATTATGCTCATGTATGATTCTTATCTACGATTGATATTTACGCGTTTATAAAACCACTTTCAAACAAACATCAATCGTTAAGATAGTATAAACTGGAATAAACAACTATTCTTCGCATTCGAAGAATATTTTACTAAATAACTTTCAGTATAAACAAATTCATTCATTCACAGTATCATGACCCAGAAGATGACGATGATCGATGGAAAATATGTTGAATTCGATCAATAATCTGTTTACCATAAGCTGATATACTGATAATTTTACTCAAATCTTAAAACAATAATTTTAGAAATTCTAATTTATTTACTGTAATTTCGAGTTCATGGCTTTCCCTGTCATAGTATGTATAGTCACTGGATATACCTTTTGGTTCCATTGATATGAAAAAGAAAGCATCTTTTCCAGGATTATTATTATAGATCTGTAAACCTATTTTACTGCCAAATTTCTACATAGAGATTGATAACTCTCTCTACGTAAACTAAATATACATTTCGGCAATCTTCTTAACTTAGGACTGAAGATTTCTGTTACGTAAGCACGTAAACACGTCATTTGATATACTTGAGCGATTACGAGTTTACCTTAGTCGAAAAAACAAGAGCGAGACTAGTCTAATCCGATTGTCCCAAACGCACATTGACTAAAAGAAGAAGACTTGATATGAAGCGGAACCTGCATTCTACAAGCATCCAGAAAGTACGAGGTCCGAGTCCAGAGGAGAATCAGGATCCCGGACTAGGGATCTGGGTCCAGGGCATAAAACGTCACAGATAATGCTTATTGATACAGTTAGGTTGAATAGGTAACAGTATTGAAGCCTGTAACATTGACAGTTAGGACGACCAATAGGAATCGACCAATAGAATTTGACTTACAAACCATTATCTTAGAATATTGGATGAATACCCCAACAATTTCACAAGAATACAATATCGTTAGACGAAATCTTACACAAGTGTAATCATAAATACTACAGAACAAATAAAAAGAATCATACAAATGTGAATAAAGCTTACCATATTTAAAGCCTTCAATCTAGACACAAATTCATCGAGATTATCAATTAAAGTTAATGGAGTATTGGCCTATTTTGTACAAAAACAAATTTTAAAAAATGATAGATAAACAGGCAAATAACATTTTTACAATAATTAAATAAACAAGTAAATATCAAGGAACAAAACAGAAAAATGTAAATTGTTATAACAAAAAAATGCACACTACTATTTTGATTTGTTTTGCATGTTATTTCATGAAAAATGGCAATTTAGTAGAACATTTAAAAAGTGTCGATAAAAATAACAAAATTAAGTAAACACATCATTATTATAAACAGTGAATTCAATTATTGGAACAATAGAAACAACCGTTGATCAATAATCCTATTGAGTGTTACAAACATTTTGGTGAACAACAAACAACTCATAACTTCATTCGACATTGAAATGAAGCACATGTCATGGTTTATAATTATTGGCTCCTTTTGTAACATGGATAAAAGTAATTCAACTGCATTGCCACCGACGATGTTGGACCTAAGAAAGCAGTAAAGATGGTTTTTAAGGAGAAAGTCAAAAATAATAAATCGTATCAATTTCAGGCAATTGACTGAACAATGCACAACTTATTTTTTCCGCAATAACAAAAGAGAATATAATTGTTTTGAAGGAGATTACCAATGAATAAATGATAGTGTGATGGCTACATTCAAAACATGCTACAAGAGTATGAATGAAAACAGCAGCAAAATGGTTCATGATAATCAATATGACCAATGTAGTTGAAAAGAGATCTAGTATTGTAGATTAGTATAGTAATCGAAAATAAAGCTGCTCACTATTCTTATTAACATTATCATTAGTACGGTTTAGATAAGTTAAATAAGTGGAATTATAACAAGCAACTACTTGACTGCTCTGAGAACAACTGGTAGTCACATTAGATTCGTAAAATTATCAACGTCTTACACTGCAAAAAATTAATTTCGGAGATAAAGAATATACACATATTAGTAATACTAAAAAGTAACTGAACAGAATAAATAACTTCTGAATAATCATTTGGACACACCACAAACTACCCCGCTTACGTTAGTCAGAAAACTCTACATTTTGTCAGCGTCTTCACCGAATAGAACTATGTCATAGGCATATTCTAAGTCGATAAGCGAGCCTCCTGGCAGAAGGTCTACTCCTGAAAATTCAGACGAAGATAATGTTATTTCTAGGAGCATGTCTATGATAAAACAGTGTCAGATGCTGTTTTAAGGTCCAGGAAGACAACTATTGTCAGACGCCGAAATGCGTGTCAGTGTTCCAGGACCTGATGTAGTGTGAAAATGTGTTCTATACACCCACGTCCAGGTCGAAAACCAGCCTGGTTTTCTCTAGTCTGCTCTTCACGGGCACTAGTTAGGCATCTAAGGATTATCGAGGCTAAAAATTCAGAAACTACATTATTTAGACTGATTCCTCGGTGATTGTCACAAGAGCACTTTTTTTCCTTTCTTTTAGAGTGGGACAATCAGGGATTGAGACCACTCGGATGGAATTACGTCAATTTCCCAGATTCTAACTAGGATCTCAGTCAATCAAGCTGCTAAAACTGGACCACCATCCGTGAAGATCTCAGCACTCGCTGCTCTCCCTCGCTTTAGATTTTCTATCGCTTTCTAAACTTCATAAAGATTCGGAGGGCTTACATTGATTTGCCAGTGAGGATGACTGGAGATCATGGGCAACCGAAGTGTGGCTGAAGGCCAATTGGACAGAAAGTTATATAAGGCCACAAAATAACTTGTTTACAACAACTCTAACATGTATTTTGAACAAGGGTTTATAGTTAATCACTTGTTGATTTTTTTCAAGTTGTACACACATACGAAATGTTTACAGTAAAATAGTCATACGTCAGAAGACTTTAAAAAAATAGAACGTAAACAATGTAAAAATTCATGTAGTAATCGATACGGAATGCAATTAGGAGTTTATCATAAGAACACTTAAAAACAATGCAGTAAATAAAAGTGACAAAGTCCAAGATATGGATATTCGTGTATATAAATTATATATATACATATATATATATATATTTATATATTTATATATAATATACTTGTGCCAGTTCCCCCCCTCCAGAACCCCAGACCTAACTGTACTATTGCATCATGATAAACACATGTATAACTAGTACTCAGACATAGAAATAACCCACTGACCAGTATTATAAATGGACACATGAATATCTCTACTAGGTTGAATAAAAAAAAATATATTATGACAATGAATTTTTTCTTAGATAATATTAAGGTTGCAGTAGATATTGCTCTCCTTATTCTTCTGAACGAATTAAAAACTTATGCAGACAAGTATAATGCACCTTACTAAAAAAGGGATTAGAATAATCCGGCAGCAACACAGTTCGTATAACAAAGAAAATAAAAACGTGTGACATAAATCTAATGAAGTCATTGACATGCCATCAGTTTAGGTAATTTGTGAATACAAAAACTATTTGCATCATTTTATAACAAAATATTAACAATGAAACCTTGAAAGAATATAGGAAATTAACAGATAAAAATTGCATCCGATTGGTCACATTTAATTGAGGCATTTATATAAGTTGAAATCCTATGAATTACATGTATATGATATCAATGATTAATTTATTTTTAATAGTAAAACAAACACATGAAAATGACATGAAATCATTCAACAAACTTTATTGTAACTAACATTTACAAGATTACTTTATTCGAATAAAATGAAAGACCAATTAATAAATGCAATATACTCCTAATAAAATAAAAACATGTAATACGAAATTGGCAGGCGTATATAACTCCAGCTTTTAAATCTCAAAGCGATGATGAGAAATGGCTTTAAAAATAAGTGATATAAATTGACCTTACGTACGACTGTGAAACAACTGTTTATACTTTCAAAACAGGGAAAATATAAAATTTACAAAACTGTCTATATATTCCTTTTAGTCACCCAGTGTCATTTATGGAAGTGAGTGGACGAAAAGCGAATTTCCAGCACTTTAACCAAGTTGGTGGATATAGAATTTTAATTTAGGGTAGTTGGAAAACCCTGACTCAAAATCAACAGTGGACATTGACTCCAGCATAGAACAAATAGCGTATGAAACTATTGCTATTCACCAGTTAACACAGGACTGCATCTCCTGACGTTGTCTCACTCACTGCCTTGTGAATTAGACCTGTGGGTGGAAGGCTTCAGTAGTGACCAGTATGTAAATCATTAATTTCGATCTCGTGTCTGGATACTATTCTGGCACAAACGAGTTCATTAATTTTTGAGGCGCGAAATTATTTCGGTGCTCCATAGTATCAATAACTGTGCATTGAAATAAATAAAAGTTAGTTAGTCAATTGCAACTGATAACTTGGTAAGCACAGACATGAGTTCATGTTACCATACCACAACAGCACAGAAGGATGGAATTAGCAATTCGATTCTCATAGTACCAGAGGAAGTAACAGTATTATTTGCAATAGAAAAGATTAGGGATGGAAAGCAGGGTTCCAGAAAACATGAACCAGTGCAATAAATTTACAAAAACGTTACGCGGAATTCTAAAGCTAGTTTTGGGGAAGACAAAGAATAGATGCACCTGCGCCAACGGAAACGATTTTGAGCCAAGTCAGTCAAGCTCTCTAACCCTCGAATACTATCTTCTTGCCAAACCTAACCAGGTAGTCTACACCTACCAACATGACTCAGTCTCCTTGTCAGTGACTTCATGGATTTCTCCCATGTTTTGGTTTGGCCGCCCCTAAGATTTCTTCCAACCTACCCCTAAACCAGGCGTCATAGCTCACTGAGGCAGTCGGTGGTTGCAAATTCGTAATATGTGTCCCAACCACTTAAACGGGTGAAGTTTTCCTACTTCATCTATTGACTTACCATCCACACCTAATACCCTTTTCCTAACAGCAACATTGCTTACTCCCAGGATATACGAGTAATGTTTCGAAGACACCGATGATTGAAAACCAGTAGCCTACGAATATCCTCTATTCCTAATAGTTTAAAACTCGTTTAGTAGAACGGAGCTAACTGCTTCTTAATAAACTCTTCCTTCAGGTTAACAAACAGATGCCTCGCCTATACCACAAGATGGAGAAAACTAGTCGAGCCTTCTGTATCCGTGGCGAGATTTTGTCAGACACCAGGCCATCAGGACTGATGAGACTGCTAAGATAAGTGAAGCAGTCAACACGCTTAGCTACTTCACTGAAAATATCCCTTTCACATCGGAAACGTATCCGGAGTTGGGAACAATAAATTTCATAGGTACTCCAGTCCGAAAACGTACAGATGAATGAGCATTAAACTTATTCAATAACTTTCAGTCAAACGTTTTATGTGATATCTGATTTAAGTTTTAAAAGCGTCCTAATTTGTAGCAGAGTTAGTAGCCTGGTTGAGAGAGAGAGTATCTCTAAGTTGTTGTCTTTATTATCTTGAGAAGTAATAGACGCAACTAAGTATATGAAACGCTTCTCTGTACAATCTTCAGGAGGCATCATTAGACCATTTATTCAGTGCTGAATAGAGAAAAGGAACTTTAATAGCTATTTAACAGTTCTGTGCATAAATTCACATTTACTTAGACGGAATGTCAAAAGTGGAATTGTAATTTCAAAAAGTGTTTAACAGACAAATGTTTAAAAACAATGAGGAAAAATCCGAAAAAGTATTTGTTACATGAATAGATTGACATTCTCAACAAACTAATTTCAAACAATAGTCCTTAAGGTTGTGAACTTGATGCTAAATACAAATCAATATCAAAATGATACCGATGTCAATAAGATATCTTCCGTTGTAACAGGTTATTCTAATATAACCTACTGTCAAAAAATAATCAGAAGATAACTATTACAACAAAAGAACAAAAGGTAACATCAAAAGTTTAGAACTAACTTCATTGATAGCCTTCTGGAAATTTACAGCTGAAAGAAATTTAGTACGTTCCAAAGCTGCTAAACACGTCTGGATAGTATTTTCAAGTGGAGACACTATGTCAGCTTTCCTAACTGACTCAATGAGACCTTGTAGAATTTCGTCAATTGCCTACAATACACAAACAACTGATATGGTAGACTTGTAAACACAAATTCTCATCACTCTCATCTATACCAGGATAATGAGGGGCGTACGGTTAAACATTTTAAAAACTGTCTAGTAATCAGGTTTTACTAAATTAATGCAAATGATACTGATACGCAGTAATTAAATTAAGTTGATTTTTATCAAATCCATACCAATCTTAGCACTTAATTACTGAACTATATTCCAACTGCAAGCAAACAAAAGATCCCGACCATAGTTACTACCTTGTCGCGGTGGTCGGGCTTGACTATCGTGATGACCAAACCGAGCTATATTGCCTGGAACACAAGTTCCTGAAGGTTCTAACATACCAGGTAGGTCGGTTGGAGAACGATGAGACTAAAAGCAGCTACTCAAGGTCTGAGCGCGAAGTCGTACTGTTGACTGTAGAGGGGTGTGACAGCAATAAGGTGTTTCCCAAGGACAACCAGCATCTGCAGCGATGCTCCCTCCCAACGAGGAAGAAAAGGTCGACCATGACAATGTCACACCTCACCTTACCTCACGGATTTCCGTCTCCGGCGGTGAGACCTTGTAAACAAGAAAGGAGTTAATACTTTAAAAACTTCTCATAAAAAGCCGTGCGTGACCAGCTTCAAGCAGTTGCCCCCCTCAGGCTCTACGGTCACGCTCCTATGTCTCTAAGACCAATTCTAATCTAACTTCCTTTTCAGGTTCCTCAAGAAACACCCTTTCACGGTGTGGGCATCCGGGAAGTGACATCCGCCCTCATACCCGTAACAGCATATCCGTAAACAAAAGAAAACCTTAAACTACATTTGAAAAATTCATTTCCAACAAACGTAAGCAACTGGATACTGGAGTTACCTGTTAGATATGAAGACATCAAAAACTACAAAAGGGAAATTACTTTATACATGTGAGATGTAAAGGAATATTGAATCAATGTTCACATTTTCGATTGAGTGACTCAGATAGGTATTGCTTTGTCGTTTCCATGAATTATTAGCATTTGTAAAGCAATTTTGCAATTAATAAATGAAATATTCCAGTCTTAATTGAAAAAAACTTGTTCTTTATTCAAAGAAAACACTGGAAGATGTAGATAGATCACTTACACAAAAACAAATTAGATTGCAAGTGTTATGAAAAGTCAAACAAAAAACCAACTTACATCATTTAGTACAGGCCAAACAAACTCTCCGGTACTGATCGCTTTTACGAATGGTTCGTTCTCACATCGAGTCAAAATGGTATCTGACAGATTAAAACGAATAATATCTAAAGTTGATTTGATGGATTCCAGTTCACCTTCGTTAAGCCGAGCTGTTCTAGATTTGGATGAGTTCATTGGTAATCCATCGATGACTGCAAGAGCTGACTTTAAACTCTCGAAAACGTATTGATCCATCTTTCGGGGACCATCTGGATAGCGACCAGTCAGATATCGACAGACTTCAGTTTGCAAAGGTCCACCAACAAGGAAAGGTACTATGCAGGAGACCATCAAAATAGTCGAGGAAAGAAACATGAATCCTACACCGCTGGAAAAAATATGTAGTAATAAGGTGTATAAGGAATAAACTGCAATAAATTTTATAGAAATATCCAAGATTATTGAAAATAAATATTATGAATAATCTTCCACCTGGTTTCTGACACTTACTGAACGATACTCTTTCCTTCTGCCTAACTATCCAAGTTCTATTTATGTGACTGAAGCCAACAATATTAAACTGCAATGAAGTGCAACTATATTTTGAAACTGTAATGCAAATTGAAGATGTAGATATATAATCATAACTTCATCAAAAGCACAACAATGACAGATAACATTTCCCATATGATTTTAAGATATCTTTGTTCACTCTTTCTCTGATTTTTAATTAAAGAAAGAAGTTATGTTTGATAGATAAATAGATAGACGGATGAATGGATTTCTGTTTTGAAAAATAAAATGCAATATGATTGTAACACGATATCCTTTAAAAGATGCCATACCAAATGTATACTTGATGAGTATGAAAAATAAATTACGAAAACTTACGCAAGCAACAAATTGGCTCCAACGCCTCGATTACACAAACCAGCTTCTTCATATGGACGATCACCACAAGTACCGAAACATAGTCCAAGGTATAATAACAGGAAAATTAAAATGGGGATGCATAGCAAAGCCATCCCTCCATATAACAGATACTCGACAGCTCTAAAAAATTTTATTACAGATAATGAAAGACTTTATAAACTTTACATTACAGATATAACAAGAAAAAGAACAAAATGTCAAGTCTGTTTATTGCCATTTACAAAACAGATTAGAAAGGAATGATTAATTAAACATCACACCAGACAAGATCCTCTCAGTGGTTTTAATGAAAAACAGGTTTGGTCTCCCACAAATTTTGCAGACATCCGACAGGCATTGAGATGCTCTGCAGTTTTATAAGGTGAATATTGAACAGACGGGTAACTGTCAGAAAGACATCTGGAAATACGAAATAGCTAGTGTGTAGTAAAATCCATCATCCTGAAACTTATTACAAGACGAGCGTATGCTATCTATTACAAATCTATGCCCCCACACACGGAACATATATGAGACGCTATTAAGCATGGCAATACATAAAGCAAAATAATGTGTGAATCCGAAATGATTGTGTGTGACCTTAGGGAGCGATTTCACTAGGCCAAATTTAAGGTCTCACAGGCAGTCGTTTCTTTAAAATGATATAAAAAGCCTTATTAGTAGACACAGAGACTGATCAATTGCAGTCTCAAACATCAGTAGGAAGATTCCAACAACTGATAAAAATTTAAAAGCCTTTTATATCGGTATCTGGTGGAAGATTTTGTAAATAGATTACATCTCAGTAAAACACACTATGATATAGTATATACAAGCGTTGGGGAGCCACGAAATATCCTTCAGATAGTCTATAGAGGCCCAGAAATGTTAGGAAATGTTCCATTCAATGATTGAATAGGACGTTCACAGAAACATCAAGAAAATACAGAATTATATGCCACAATTTTGGCTGGATATTTAACTACAGAGCAAGCATAATTATTATGATTCTCGAACCTTCTGGAATCTCAAGGTGATGCGTAACTTTATAATTAACCTCATTTTTCCATACATAAATTAACCTTGGAGTAAAGCATTCGTCTTGTACTTTGCGCCTTTTCTCTTGTGTTTGAAACGTAGTATGGATTTAGTCCAGTTTAGTGGAAGCGGATAGGAATTCAGATCGTATTCATTTGGCAGACTTATCAACAACTGCACAAGTTACCCATATACTGTATATGAAGTTTATTTAGGACATTTTGGCAGGTCATATTTAGCTCGATGTAGTTTGATTTGAAGAAATTTAAAATCGTGAAACTCATTGTCAAACTTTCAATCACTGGTTTTCAAATACTGGGAGTTTTTACTAATCTCGATTAACTTTAGGCTTTCTCAGCAAAAGGGACATAAATTGCTGCAGTGTTAACAAATATGGTTTATGGGTTTTCACAGCTCATATGGTCAATTTAGAGGAAAAATAGAGAACCATTTTGTTTATGATATAATAAATTATCGTTAAATTTTTAGCGCTAATGAGTTTACAGTAGCCTAAAAATCTTTCGGAAGACCTTCTCCAGTTCCTTCATCAACTAGACCAACATAAATATGCAAGACACATTGCGACGGGAATTGGAAGCGGACATCAAAGAATGAATAGCGTATAGGAACAGCGGAAAAGAAAAGCCCGAAACACAGTTGCTACGAGAATCCTGATAGGCAACCTACGCTCCACGAGAAGAAAATACAAAATCTACTAAATTATGTCAATCAGTCAGTCAGTTCATAAACAATGCAAGCAGCATGATTATGATTAAGAATATTTTCTTTTGAAAGCTTCACTATAAAATATGTGTAACTAGGATGAAATTCACACTAACCGTGAATGATAACTATTTATTTCTTCATTATTATCCAGTGAAATAAGATCACGTGCAAATTTTAAAGTAGTGCTCGCATTAGCCACAATACCTTCGAATACACTAGCCAATTTTTTCCGTGTCTCTGGAGACTGGGCTAAATCATTCCAGGCACCTACAAAAAACAAAATGGTAGAAATGTACTCTGACAAAATGACTGGAGCACATAAACGAATATATTAGGCAAAATAAAAATACAATACAAATATGTGGGAAAAGTAAAATAGGCTTCCTCTGATAATAGAAAAAACTGACTGAACAGAACTATGAACTATATACATAGACAAAATCTAGTCTAACATACAAACCAAACATATTTAGCTAATCAAAGAATTGAAGTTTGCTATGTGTATTTATTTGTTTGAACCATCAATAATGTCAGAACTCGCGTGGTACTACCGGAGAAATATGCACTGGTTGTTAAATATAGTACTCGAAATATTATGTAAATTGTCACACAAGAAAAACATGCACATTCTCAGAGCATATAAAATGTCAAACTAATGCTAACTTGGTATTGAGTTATCGATTATCGGATAACAAAATGTAATTACAATCAACAAAATACTATTTGAAACATCGTACATATAAGACTATGACATTATGTAGTCATGCAGTACAACGCATGCACAAATCTATAACACGCATGAATCTCATCCCGTATCACACCGTTACATGTACTAATAAAAAAGTAATTGTTAGTGGAACATAGATGGAATTAAAGCATGACCACGTTGCAGCGCGCTGATTGACCAGTTTCCTATCCAATCAGCGCCTGATCGAATCTTGGAGAACAGGGTAGAAGATTCTCGTACTGTTAGCTGCGTGCTGATTGGTTAAATCTAATCCAGTCGATCACGTGAATTTCTATCCAGAAGCTTTCTCATGTAAATGCTATAAATAGACTAACGTTGTATCCATTTTTGCCTTTGCCTTCGCCATCACCTCTGGCTTCTTATTCCATTTAATTTTGCTATTTTGGAATACAATCTTTTCCTGTTCAACCGTGTTTTGATTCTTGGGAACTTGTCCAGTGTATAGTGGTCAGAGAATACTAAGCAATAGGATTTAGCCGGGAATTATCTAAGCAAGCATTACAACAGTAATCTTCCAAACAGAAACACGAATAAATCGAAAAACATTGACGACATCTGCCTAATTATCGGTGGAAGTCAGGGATCGACTAAGTAAACTGCTTAGTTATAAATATTTTTTATCAGTAAGTGACCATAGCGTACCACAAAACTATTTACGTTGGAATCTACTAGGAACCCCAGACTTCAGCACAAACTTAGAGTGAATCATCAGCAATCCCGTATGCTGCCCAACTTCGATTTTCACTTGAAAATAAATAGCTCAACACTAAACAACTGAATACAATACAAAGCAGTCACCTCCCAGATAGTAGACAATAAAAAAATTCAACAACAACACAAAAAAACTACAAGCATATGATGATTAAGAACTTACGATCCAGATCATCATTGATGGAACGTTTAACAATTACAGCCAGATTATTGACAGTTTCATTAAACTAGATATAAATGAGAAAAATTAAGAAAAATGAATTATTGATTAGAAAAATTACAGAATACTCGTCAAGGGAGAGCTTAGAACAAGGATGTAAGATAACTTCGTAACAGTCAAAATACAAACTGCTAGACAAAATATTGCAAAACGTTGTTTTGATTTACAATATTTTTTAAAATGAATGATATAATAAACTAAAGTGTCTGAACAGTTTTCAAGGGGCTCAAGCTCTTAACTTTCAGCTCTTTAGCGCCAAGATCGAATCCCGCTGGATTGAAGTAACTACGTAGATCCAACTTTACATAGAGGGTGGCTCAAAATGAACTATGAGAGCAAATGTGCTGGATCATTGGATTTAAGACAGATACAACGCAGAACTTCGTACGTAAGTACATCAGTTCAAGTTGACATACCACATCAGCACAGAGACGCAACTGTCAGTTCAAATCTAGGAGTAGCAGTATTAGCAGCAATGGAGAAGATTAGGGAGCGAAGATATGATTCGAGAAGTATAATTCAGTGAGATAAATTTAGAAGGAGAAAGATCGAGGTTATGAGGAATTCAGAAGGTTAGAATTTGAGAGAACACAAACAAACACCTGAGCCATTGAAAACGATTCTGAGCCATGTCATTCAAGGTGTCTAACCATTGGTGACTTTCATCTCGCGGACCCCAACCAGATAGCCTACATCTACCAACATGACTCAGTCCACTTGTCAGTGACTTCATGGATTTCTAACATGTTTTGATCTGGCCGCCTCTAGCTTTCTTCCAACCTACTCATACACCACAAAACATAGTTCGTCGAGGCAGTCGGTAGTTAGGCATACGTAGCACATATCCCAACCACCTCGACTGATAAACGTTCACTACTTCATCATCTATTGATCTGCCATCCTTACCTAGCAACCGTTACCTTACAACAGCATCGCTTACTCAGTTGTCCCACGATATACGAGCAATGCCTCGGGGACACCGATGATCGAAGACAAGCAATCTACGAATGTCCTCTACTCTCACCAGCCAAGTCTCGCATCCGTACAGTAGGACGGAGCGAACTGCTGCGCAGTACACTCGTCCTTTGGTTAGCGAACGGATATCTCGCCTGCGCCATAGGTGACGCAACTTGGAAAAAGCCAATCGAGTTTTCTGTATCCGTGCAGAGATTACGTCAGTCACCAGGCCATTAGCACTGATAAGGCTCCCCAGATAAGTTAAGCGGTCGACATGCTCGACTACTTCACTCTCTATCACTAGTTCAGGTGCCGATGCAAACCATTCCTGAAGCAAAATTTTGCATTTTGATGAGGAAAGTCGCATCCCGAACATGCTTGCATTGTTGCTTAAGATAGTCAGAAGACTCTACGTTTTGTTAGCATCTTCACCAAATAGAACTAAGTCATCCGTATATTCTAGGTCGAAGAGCAAGTCTCCTGGTAAGCAAAACTATAAGCTACAGTCAAGTGGGTATGCGAAGGCGAAGTGTGATTTCTACGGTACATGGGAACAGTGCTTAAACCAGTGAACCAAGGCTCGGCATATGATATTTGAATTTAAGGTTTATAACATAAGGTAAGATTTAGACTTAACAGTCAGGTGTTAATTTATTCAACAACGAGTGACTTATAAAACTGATATTTTTATACTGTTTATTATTCTCAAAAAGCATACTTAAACATTTTATTTTACTACGTAAAAAAACTATTCATGTGGCTAGTAGTGGAGTCTATGGTATCAGTTTATTCGGAGATTTTAGAAAATATTTTAATCTCTTAAGCAGTTATCATTAACATAACTGCATTCTCTATTAAAACAAACCGAAACTTGTCCAAATTATCATATCCTAATTCAAAACAGTAATAAAGGTTCTGCTGAATTATTACAAGCATAGTAAGATACTGGAAGGTGTGATGTAGAAAGATATAAATATATATATGCTAGAATTCAATATCGAAGTTATAGGTTGATCAAAGAAGCAAACTAAATAACTTAATCAAGTAATTTTATCCGAAAATTCAACTTGTAGAATAACTATTAACAATGAATCCAGATAAAATTAATAATACTTACCTCATTAAGAGAATCTATATCAACAACGTGACGTTGAATTGAACTGGAAATAGAGATCGCTTCATCTATTTGAAACTACGATCAGAAAGAAGTTCATTTATTTGAAAAAAAATAATATTATTAGTATTGTTACTATAATAAATGACAAGAATGCATATATCTTTGTTAGAAACTAAACTATGTTAAAATTCCAAAAAAACACTAATTCATGTACTTTACATACATTTCCATATTACTCATTTTTCTCTATACCTAATTAAATATTTATATAAAACACTTCATTTGATTTTCATATGCAATAAAACAGATAACAAACAATCAACTTTTTTAACTTTAACAAACAGTAGCAATAAATAAGGTCTCTCATGAAAAGGAGATAGATCAACAAGTAGCAATGATAAATTGTTGGAATACATGACAACTCGTAACCTATAACCAAATATACAATTCATGCAATAACTACTTACCATGCTTGGTGAAACACGAACTTTTAACTGGTCATCGACTAATTTCATTAATTCTCTGCATTCCACAATCTTATCAATGTGACAACCTGTATTCAGGGTAGAAATTAAACCCTCACGAATGGTAGGTAATTCAGCGATTATTTCGTGGAGTGAATGGTTAAAGTGATTGAGTTTTGCGATCGCCTCAGATCCAGGAAGGAAACTTCGTGCAGCTTGTGAATAAAAAACAATGAATATGATTAAGAAACAATTTATAAGTATGAAGTTTATGAAATGCTTTCTACTGCTAACCAAATGTAACATTAATGTTAAAATAACCTTAAAATATATCCATAACTTTATAATAATGAACAGGTCAAACAAATAGATCATACTTCCGAATAACATAACTACTGGCATCACACCAGTAAAAAAAATACCGAATGGACAAGGTAGACGTGAACGAAACGTTCAGTTTCCTAAACAGTCTTCAACAAACAACTACACTGTTATTAATCTAAATAAAAGCTTTCACTAGTTCATAAGAGATGACTTGACAGTCAGAAAACTTCATTAGTTAGTTTTTCAATCTGACCCCCTTAAAATTTAGGTGTATAGTATCATTTTTATTTGTATCACAATTTTTTGCATGTTGGTATCGATGTATTTTTAAATGATTAAGGAAGAAACCTTGCTATCCGTCATAGTGCCTAGCGACAATCAATCAACAGCAACGTAGAACTTCGTACGTAAGTACATACATCAATTCATGTTGCCATACAATATTAGCACAGAGATGTAATACACAGTAGCCAATCACAGCCAAGGATTTTCCTGGTGGGAAATGAAATCTCAAGGTCAACTGATCGGCCCATGCTCGCAAACGTGAAATCCAAGATAAGGCATTTATCAAGCGAGTTCTAGGGATCTAACATTCCCAACACTTTCGTTCAGCGTAGAAACATTAATGAGACCAATATTTTAGATACTATATTAGTTATTGGGACAATCAGCGACTGAGACCAGTTTCCGAATTCTACCTAAGATCTCAGTAAGCGTAACTGCTAAAACTGGAGCTTACTTACTTACTCACTTACGCTTGTAACTCCGAATGGAGCATAGGCCGCCCACCAATTTTCGCTAACCAACTCTGTCCTGGGCTTCCCTTTCCAATTCTGTCCAATTTTCGTTCATTCCTCTCATATCTTTCTCTATTTCTCGGCGTAATGGGTTCTTTGGCCTTCCTCTTTTCCTTTCACCTTGAGGGTTCCATGTGAGGGCTTGTCTCGTGACGCAGTTAGGCGCTTTTCGTAGTGTGCGTCCTATCCACTTCCACCGCTTCTTCCTGATTTCCTCATCCACTGGAATCTGGTTTGTTCTCTCCCACAGTACGTTGTTGCTGATGGTGTCTGGCCAACGAATCCGAAGTATTTTGCGTAGACAACTGTTAATAAACACTTGTATCTTCTGGATGATGCCTTTCGTAGTTCTTCAAGTTTCCGCTCCATACAGTTGAACTGTCTTGACATTTGTATTGAAAATCCTGATTTTGGTTTTGGTTGAAGGTTGTTCGGAGTTCCAGATATTTTTCAACTGTAGAAACGCAGCCCTTGCTTTGCCAATCCGTGCCCTCACATCTGCATCGGATCCACCTTTCTCGTCGATGATGCTGCCAAGATATGTAAAGGTGTTAACGTCCTCCAAGGCATCTCCATCAAGAGTGATTTGGTTGGTGCATGTTGTGTTGCATCAGAGAATTTCGCTTTTTCCTTTATGTATGTTGAGACCTACTGCTGCAGAGACTGCTGCTACACTGGTCGTCTTCTCTTGCATTTGTTGTTGCGTGTGAGATAGAAGAGCCAGGTCATCTGCGAAGTCCAGATCATCCAGCTGCGTCCTAACTGTCCAGTTGATACTGTGCTTCCCTCCAGAAGTCGACGTCTTCATAATCCAGTCGATCACCAGGAGAAAGAGAAAGGGTGAGAGTAAGCAACCTAAAACTGGACCAACATCCTTGAATATCCCAGGGGTCAATCTATCAGCAACCGCTGCTCTCTTCAGATTTCCTATCGCTTTCTCAACTTCACAAAGAGTCGGACAACTTACGTCAATTTGCCATTCAGGATGGCTGGAGGTCGTGGGCTACTGAAGTGTTACTGAAGGTCAACTGAACCAATCCCTCAAGTGTTCCGCCCATCGATCCAACATTCTGGATTGAGAATGAATAATAAGACCATCCTTTTCCGAAATAGTTTCACTGACATTCGGGTTTCGCAATACCGGTTTCCTTGATGAGTCTGAATAGTTGCCCATTGTTTCCGATCGCCGCCGCCTTTTCCATCTCTCTCGCTTTCGCTACCCACCACTTTTCACGATCATTGCGTAGGCTTTCTATCAGCCTCTGCCTAAGCTGACTCCGCTCTTCTCATAGCCAGATGGCATGAGCTTACAAGAATCCATCAGTTCCGTAGATGCTACTGAAATCCACGGCTTCTTACTAATCTTATGATTTACCTTACTAGCAGATATCACTGCTGTTTCCACAGCTTTTTTGATATCATTGCAAGCTGCCTCCGGGTGGGCATCACCTACTACATGGTCGCCTAACTGTTTTTCTAGTTGTTCCTGAAATATATTCTTATCTTTATTCTCATTAAGTAGAGCCCTAAGAGGTTTCCTGGAGACATTTTTCGTAAATCCAGTAAGACGCAAACAAATACGTGCTCGCACTAGAGCATGGTCTGAGTCTAAACAAGTGCTCCAGAATGAGCGGCAGTCTTCAATAGAGCCTCTGGACCGATGGCTTAATACTATACCTACGCCGGCGAGGCCACGGGAAGCAGCATCAGGGCTACCTGAAACACGAAGCGTAAACCGTGTTGTTTCGCTATCTACACTAGGTGAAATTAAATTGATGATTTTACTCGAATCTTGTATGCGCGTTTCGGAGATGCACCACACATCGATCAGCCGGGATTCCAGAGTTCTAGCTAATGAAGTGTATTGCCCTATTCAGCATAGGGTTCGAACATTAAAAGCTCCTACATGTAATTTTGTACGGGCTTGCGAGAGACCAGAAGTAATGTTCCGTGGATTGTAATTGTATTTTACTCTATAATTTGTGCTTGCATACACAGAATGGAGATTTCAACTAATCATTCAATACAATTGATAATGTAATAATCAATTTTGTCATCATCACTGTGATGAACCAGAATTTTCAGAGCTGTGATGAAATAAGTTAGTAAATTGTTAGATGAATTAGTCTAATGCTGATTATTAGTCTTGATATCTAAATATAAGGATAACCACTTATCCAAAAAAGGATTGCAACGGAAATTCAAATAATTTATTACTTCTAGTACCATTATGACGAAGTTAGCACTTATGGCTAAACCTTTGCAACTATTTCTAAAAGTTGACAGTGAAGCCCTTCATTTCCAACTTCGAAAATAGAAAGGTTTTAGTAAAGAAAGGAAAATATTAAATGTAAATTGCCATAGTGTGTACATGTTAATAAATTAAGAAACACACATACTTGTTTGAAGGTTTGAAATTACATCAGATACATCATCCGCTTGAGACAGTTTAACAAAATCTTCTTGGAAATCCACAAGACCATCTGGAAGAAGAGTACACAAAATCTTGTAGGTACTTATCTACCACTTAGATGCACAAACAAAAAAAAACGCTTGAGTGCTAAACACCACGTCACAAAGTGTATGCAAAATCCAATAATATTCACGACAATCCTAAGTCAGGATTTGAATGAACTTTGAAGTACTGGGGTCCTATTTATTACAACAACTGTTTTATTGTTATAACTGATCAATCATATTCGTTTGGCTCTTTAATTCAAAAACAAATTATTCTGATCGTTTTTTATTTGTTTACACGTTGGTACAAAGATGTGCCACATAAATCATTGAATTTGTGCGTGGGCTAGAATGTTGTCCGGATGCCCAAATCGAAGCAACCTACTGATATATCTTTCTCAAATGTGCTTGGAGATGATCAATTATTTCAGGGAACCCTAACCAAAATGTCTTAAATCATTTAGTTCATCATTGTCTACAGTTCATTTACCGCCTAAATACACGTAAAAGCTAGCAAAACTACCCAGCTCTCTAAGCCGTGTTAGATTGAGTGGGTTTCAGACTCACTGAGCCATCTCTACAATAACATATCTAATGATCCACATACACACATTTATTTAAGAAGATGCAAATGCAAAATAGGAAACTATAAAGATAGGTTTAATTAAATAGAAAGTAATAAACTTGATCTACTGATTTATATAACCTACCATCAACAATTCTCACAAACCGTTCTTTCTGTTCACTAAGATCTGTTGAAGACGTATTCTTTGCCATCTAGGGAACATAATTCAAGAAAAAAGTACCGTCACAGACTACTTTCTGAAACCATAAGTACCATGAAATATTAATCACAAACATATAAATCTTATCGTTTTCAAACGACAGCAATTTATATTTAATTTAAAATGGAGTTCCACGCACATGAACCCTCGGGCTTGTTTCTTTGGAAGAAGCCAGATCAATTTATCCTTCCAAACGATGGGAAATAGGAAGAACCTAACACCACATCTCAACCAAATTACCCACGACTGTAATTATGTCAACCTCACATTTAACACCACAGTTTAATGAGACTACTGTGATTTCCAGAATAGTTTCGAATTTGTCAAACTAGTTGTTGTTATGTCTATTTATCTTTGACCTGATTGACCGCACTTAAATAAGTGTAAGGACTATGTCATCATTTAACTGCCAAATTAAACTTCTACGGTAATTTTCCTACAAAAACTGTGTAATTTTATCCAAAAATAAGCATCGCAAGTAACGTCAACAATAGAGTCAAACAACTGTCAAGAATCTGAACAGATAAAAATTATCTATGAAACGAAGAAAACGTGCAGCGGTTAGAGAAATCACACTATAAGCTTAGTTGGGGCAAGGATGATAAGAACAAGTATTAATAATAATAATTATAATTGTAGTAATAATAAGAAATGTAATGGTAAAACAAAGGAACTAGTGGAAATTATAAGACAATTTAAACGTATTTAGTGACATTATCTAGAGCAATAATATGAGACACACTACGTATATAACTTTCTTGTCTGTTCAATACAAACAACAATGTTCGGATTCTCCGAGGATTGATTTGAATACTTTGGATCAGCAACGAACACCTAGACATAAAACAGTCATTTTCACCTACTACTTCTATAAATCGTTAGGTCAAAAAAACATGAAGCTCAGTGCTAAAGTTATTAAGTCTTTGAAGATAAATTTAAGCACTTTACCGGTAGAAGTATGAGCGTAAACAATAAACTAGACAAGAAGTTTATTTTAAAATCTTAAGGATAGAAACAGGCAAAAAAGACCCACATTAAAACATGAAAGAAAAAGTTACATAACCTGACAACAGATGACAGTAATTAGAACAGTGCAAAAATACTAGTTGAACAAACCTGTAACATATCTTTCAGAGCCGCTTCAAATTCAACAAGGCTAAGATTAATTTGGCTGACAGCTCCTATGCGTGGATCTCTGCTGACCAAAGCTTGATGGAATAAGTAGTGATTAATGATAACCAAAACAACAGCAGCCCTTGAAAATACGGGACAGTATACAGAAGATCATGAAGAAAAAATATTCACTACATTTTAAAACCAAAGCAAAATCGAGTTTCCTAATATCAGCTACAAAGATTTAATATATAACAGTTTGGTTGGTCATATTTTTATTGTTTCATAATAAGCAGTCAGTTAATTAGTTAGCTGAAACGTAGAAATTTGTACGTACGTACATCGGCTTAAGTTGCCATACCACATTAAAACAGAGATTCAGTTGTCAATTCAAATCCTATAGTAGTTGAGGTAGTAGAAGTGTTAGCGGTGGTCTACACCTACCGTCATGATTCAGTTCACTTGTCAGTGACTTCATGGATTAGTCCTATGTTTTGGTCTGGCTGCCCCTAGCTTTCTTCCAGCCCACCCCTACGCCACAAAACATGGCTCGTTGAGGCAGTCGATTGTGCGGCATACATAATACATGTCTCAACCACCTCTACTGATGAAGTTTCACTACTTCATCAATTGATCTGTCGCCCTTACCTAATACCAGTTTCCTAATAAGCAGAGGAGAACCAACAACTGCTTACACTGTCTTAAAAACACGATCTAAGACCACACAGGAAATAGAGCACAGCAGTGTATGTTATCCATTTCTCATGCAGAAACAGTCGAAGATTACATGGGTAAGTGTGTGGTAGGTTGATCACCAAACAGTTACATTTGTAGCCATCAATGAAAAAAATAATTGTAGTGTACGAACGTGTTTAGATCAGTTCCTATGACTTAATGGGTAAATAAAATTCATGCTATATCGGATTTGATCTAACCCTCGCAGTACAGCTGATGAAACTTGGTTTGAGTTGAATATATCCTAATTTTAGCGTATTCATATTATTATTTTGAAATGTTACGAAAAACAAGAACACGAAGTAAACCGGATAAAGGAGAATCTAGAAAACAGACAATTTATGGCATTAAACTCCATTAAAACATCTACATAGATTTGTTTTTTCCCATAACCAACAGATGAGCACGTATCAGAATAAAAGCTTAATTCTTTTTTAACTAGAAGACTACGAATAGACCATTAGCACGATGATAAGAAATTCAAGGCGAAATCCCATAGTAGTAACAGTATCAGTAGTAATAGAAAAACTTTGAAGATACGATCCAAGAAAATATAAACTAGTGAAAAAATGTACAGGGAATTCAGAAGTATAAAGTCTGGGGCAAGACAATGACTGCATTGAAAACGATTTTGAACCATGACAATTTTCATGCAGGACCCAACCATGTAATCTATGCTAACATGGTTCAGTGACTCCAGGGACTGGTTCCATGTTTTGGTTTGAGCGCTTCTAGCTTTCTTTCACCCTACCCCTACACTAGAAAACATTCACTATGGTACTAGCTGGTTGGACATACGTAACACATATCCCAACCACCTCAACTGATGAAGATTCACTACTTCATCTATTGATCTGCCATCTTTACCTAGTACCCTTTTTACTAGCACCAGCATTGCTTACTGAATGGTCTCAGAATACGCGAGCAATACTTTGAAGGTATCTATGGTTGAAGACAAGTAGCTTAGGAATACCGTCAATCAGTCAGTAAGAACGCAAAACTTGGTACGTACGTACATCAGTTCAAGTTGCCATATGACAGCAGAGAGATGAAATTTTCAGTTCAAATCTCATAGTGGTAGAGGTAGTAGGAGTATAATTAACTGTAATCGGAAAGATTAGGGATCAAAGATATGGGAAGTATATCCAAGTGAAACAAAGTTAAGGAGTGAAAGAAGGTTATGAGGAGTTCAGATTAGAATTTGAGAGAAGACAAACAATGGATGCACCTAAACCATTCGAAGCAACTTTGAAAATGAAAACCTGCAATTGTTTAACTTTGGTGATGACAATATTTACAATAATGATATGGCTTTTTAATCAAGAACCTTAATGGAGATAAAAACTGGGAACTTAAAATAAAAGTTATGAACCAAACCAACGATGTACACTAACTCTAATATGAACAAATATAGAAGAAGATAAGTTAATACAACTTACAATTGGAAAGTCACAATTAAAACCAGGCACACTGTGTATACAACTCGTCTGCAAGGATCGTGTTTTGAATCTACAAACTGTACACGTCCCCCACATTTTCCGCAGCATCGAGCACAGCAGAAAATGATTCCAACAATCGGCATCAAAATGGCGAATAGAAAACCGATAACAAGACATATGCCATATCCAAAATATGTCGTTACAACCTGATTGGAAAAGCATATGATTAAATAGACGTAGAAAAAATTGGTTTCTTTACTAACAAGATTTTTAAGTATTATGTAAATTTCAATAGAACTTAAGCATTTATGAGACCGGAGCGTTATTATAACGCAAAAAATAAATATAATCGATATGTAAAGCCACACTACAAAGTTTACTACTTTGAGAAAAGTAAACCTATGAAATAACTCTATCAACTTTACTTCCAGGATATCCAGTACTTGCCAGAAGGAAATCTTAGAATTTCGCAAGCTTTCACATAAATATATTTCCTAATTGGGAGAAAAAACAATTATCTCGCGAAGTAGGTGACATTTCTATTGCTAAACCAAAGGATATGTACTGCAAGACAGTTCGCGATTTTACTTAATTCTTGTAAAACTTAAAAGACTTCGATGTTAATTGTATTAGATAATAAGCGCCTATGTTGAGATAATATGGAGTACTAGACATAGTATATCGGTTGATGGGACAGTGAATCATAGTCGACTAAGGAGGCTGGAACAAATGCTGAGTATGCCAAACCACCACCCAACTTCGACGTACATATTTTATCATATGAAAACCAGGGACAAAAAGTGATATCAGTTTATGAAGTCACCTAAACTTGATCTTAGCTATTTTTCAGTTCAAGAACACCTAGTTACGGTTCCCGCAGTTGTTATGAACAAGCGCGAATCATTAGATGACGCGATGCAAATTAGGTAGCAGTGGGACAGATTCACTTACCCTTTTCTCGCTCTAAAATCCTGAGTTGCAAAATTATTTTGCACCATCTAATGTGAGAATTAATTTATAAAATTAAATCCACATCTAATTATTGTTACTGTCATTTATACTATTTCGATACTGGTTTAGATTATTTCATCTCGTTATGGTAACCTTGGAAGATGAACATGTGTTAAGTCCTACGTTGCTTATGACTATTACTTCTTCAGTAAACTAAGATCTGGATATTTTCGGTTATACAATTCATCCGTTCCGTATCTGAGGAAAAAATGACCGCGATTTTCTCGAAGGTTGTGGTTATCTATGTTTATGTTTAGCAGGAAAATGTTTATGTATAGAATTCAGCTTTCTGGTATTTCTTTGAGTGGACAACTGAAGTAATTTAAGTAGTTGGTAAATTGGATGATTCATAGTAGGGTGATTATTATACTGTTAGTTGTAATGGAATACTGTATATCTTCCTCAAATAGCAGACTTCTCCAAAAAAAGGACCTTTAGGAATCATAAACTGAAATCTATTCTGAAAATGTACACTTACAAAGGAGAGGAGTCAAACTATTCAACTCGTGCCCTGATGACAGGAAGTCGAAAGCTTATGTTAGCCCTCATCTTTCATGCTTGTGCCTGACCTTTTCTAAGGCTAGGTAACTGAAGAAACCCACATAAGATTTAACGGCAGTCAATTACGAGAACCGACTATTACATGAAGCTACAGGAGCATGAAAGACAATCAGGACTGAACAGTCAACACACAAACAAGCGGTAGCAACTCAGTCATTCAATAGCAAAGTGGTCTCAAAAAATGCACCACACTGCAAAAACTTAGTTACAGAGTAAACAAAGAAACAGACTTACTGGTTCAATACTTCTGTACGTAAGTCTTGGACGAGGAGAAGCTAAAAAGCAATCAGCTTTAGTAAATGGACATCTTACTATGAATATTGACAAAGGTTTCAAAGACAGCTGTTGGTGGCTTCTCACCACGAATAAGATCCAAAAAATAGTTGGATATAGAGTAGGAAAACTCCACACTATCACGTAACTGTAGCGTAGTTCTTGTAGGTGAATCATCTACGTCTGAGTTGCATGTGATAATGCGGAGGTTTATACACAACAATAATATTGCGCCTATGAAGACTCTCATTATTAATACTAATGAATCACGCCCAGGACAGGAGCATTACTGAAACCTTAAGGTCCGAAATTATTTGAACAGGGAACTCGTTGATCAACATTCAAACCTTCACGTTTCAAACTTGTTTCGCATATCGTTAATGCAGAAGTGCTTTTTATTTATTGAATCATTCCGTGATAACCTAGAATTTAAGGACAATGGGTAATGATGGGTGTGACTATCATAAAGTAAGATCTAATGCAACTTACCCTAATGCTAAGTGAAATAAAATAAATGAAACTCGAGCTGTCATCAAAAGTCTTCTATGTTGAACTGTACCAGTAGTAACGTGATAAGTTTAATGCTCCAGTCGGCATGCCACACCAGGGTGGCTCGTATCCAAAGTCTGAAGACAGCCTTCGTAACGGTTCGTATGACGGAACCAGATTGAGCGAGGGAGCCAGAAACGACCAGAATGACCAAGTTCGAAACCATGCATATGCCACAACATTCGAAACCAAAACATCGACTGATTGCATTGCAAGATTGTGGTGAACAGGCCAGCTTTCACCGAAATTGACTGAAGTCGACAGTACCAACACGGTGACATTCGCAGACGTGGGCTCAGGATACGAAATGAAAGAAAAAGAGAAAGGTGTAGCATTCATGTAGTATCGAGGCAGCAATGTTGAGCAACCCTGTACGTCTTTTCATGACTGGAAATCACGTGAAATGGTCCCTCGTAAGGCTGTTGCAAAGGTTTGCCTACTGAATCGACTCGTATGAAAACATGCGAACAGGAGAGACCGACCTGTCGATGTTGTACTCGAGTTGATACCGGAGGCAGTACTTGCATAAATTCAGACAATCGTGGGACGTAGTCTGATTTACTGAAGTTATCACTGCTCTGTGGTGTAAAAAATTCCCCAGGCAGAGGCAATGTCGTGCGTGTACCAATTCAGTGGCGGAACATTGAATATCTGCCTTTAAACTCGTCCTGATACCGATGAGGACGAGCAGTAAGGTTTCGTACCAACCGTTATTGTCGTGTGCTAAAAGAGCACTTTTAAGCTGGAGATGGAACCGTTCGATTTAACTATTCGAGGCTGGGTGGTAGGCGGTGTTACGTCCAAATTTTGCTCCCTCCCGTTATTGAAGTACAGTATGTCGATCTATTTGCAATTCACGAACCCAAATTACCAACAGAACCAAACTCCAAAGTTAGGTACTAAAGTCTATTCGCAATTCACAAATGGTCGACCAAAATGTCGTTCTAACAACAATAATTATAATAACTACAAATACCTTCCTGGAGCAAAAACTCCCAATTAGCAAACCAAGACAAACAGAAACCAGAATGTCCGAAAACAATAAATCAAACAAGTTCACACGTTAAGTAAAACAAATATACCCAAAAAACACAGTGAAATTAATGATACTTATATGAAGCTTTTAATCAGCCAAATGTCTTCATTTCTCCCGTAACACTCCCGACCGACAAAAATAGGTAACAACAATCCAAGTGTGTACATCACAAGCAATCAACAACAAACATTCATTATGCCGACAATCTCGTGAACCCTAGGACTTACAGCAGTACGCCTAGGGATCCGAGTAGCTACCTACCATCTACCGCTTCAAGAAGACAGTTTACGTATATCTCTCACTAGGATCCCCTTTCTCGTCCTCATTTCTACCTGTCTCACTAGTCTATCCTTACTTGGTATCACTCTCTGTACTAGACCTAAGGGCCACTTGTTTTTCTCAGAGAAGTCAGAACATATCATATCAAATCAAACAAGTTCATACGTTAAGTAAGACAAATATACCCAAAAAACACAGTGAAATTAATGATACTTATATGAAGCTTTTAATCAGCCAAATGTCTTCATTTCTCCCGTAACAGGCGGTACTGCGTATGCGCTCAATACCGAGCAGCCGGGTTAGCTAGGAGAATAATTCGGACTCGAACTGTTGTCCTCGGTCAGTTGTGACAGTCAAATGCGCTATCAATCGTTCTACAAAGCGGTGAGCAACTGTTTCCGCTGTAATATAAGTGATGAGAATAGCTTCGGGTCATCTTGTGAAACGATCGGTGCACGTGAGTATGTTATTATGGCAATGCGATGGTGGCAGTTGTCCTACACTGTGAATATGAAGGTGATAGAAGAGAGCATCAGGCGTAGTAAATGTTCAAGTAGGAGCGGCTACGTACCTGTGCACTTTTGATCGTTGATATTGTAAGCATTGCCTAACCCATATGAGTACCGCAAGCGTATCGTGCAGCGATGAGATGTAAAGTGGCTGTGATACCTGAATAAGACAATGCGTGAAGGGCATTGAAGACGAGAAAACGATGAGCAGAAGAAACAATGGGTCGGGGTAAACCAGTAGAATCGTCACATAGGATAGTACCGGAGGTGGTAGCTAGTGGTACTTCCTGGCACTGAAGCGACGTCGATTGCTGTGCTTCTGTACAGGAGGGATCATTTACTTGGGCAGCGGCCATGGCAGGAAAGTCAAGCACCGGTAAAGTAAGTGCATTAATTTGAATACGTGAGAGGGAATCGACAATATTGTTCGACTCGCCTTTAAAATGACGAAGGTCTGTCGTGAACTAAGATATATAATCCAAATTTCTGGACTCTCGTGGTGAATAACGGTCAGACTTAGTATGCAAAGTATACGTTAGAGGCTTGTGATCGGTGAAGAGGAAGAGGTCATGACCTTCTACTGCGTGCCGGAAATGTTTGATGGCACGGTAGGCTGTTAAAAGGTCACGACCAAAAGGACTATATCTCGTCTCCGTCGGAGTAAGGCGTCCTGAGAAAAATTCGAGAGGTTGCCAACTCTCAAAGATGTTTTGTTGCATAACGGCTCTTATTGAGAAATCTGGAGCATCTGTAGTGCCTCTACATAAACTTGAGTTCGCTCATATTTAATATGATTAAGCCTTTTCGATTAACTTATATAACCAAGCTATTTGTATAGCAACAACCCATATGTACCATTGGTATTTTTTATTGTCTGGTTTGTATGAGCTGGTATGACTGAACATTGCTTACTGCCTACGCGCATTTTCATCTGATTCGCTTTATTATTGACCTCTTAAATACCTCGATATCTTCCTATGTATATATACGAACATTTTAATCTTATCAATTCATTCGCACATTCACTCGCTAGTGTGCCTGCATGCCCTGCTTGTGGTCTGCTATCCCATTTTGTGGTGTGTCAAAATAAACGTATTCAACACTTCGAGTTCACCTTCTGATTTATAAACCGTCAGACGCTATTTGGTAACGATTGTCTGGACGAGCTAATTACGAAGATTAAAAACACGTCGAAATCGGCCACCACACATCAACCGCTAAGCCAGGCGTGGCTGCTGGGTCAGGATGGGCGAGGAGCGTGACTTGAGCTAAAGCTTTTTTAATCTCACAAAATGCTGTACGCTCTGCATTGTTCAATTCTAGTGTGCGTGGGTTACCTCGAAGTAAGTCGGTGAGTGGTCGTAACTGTTCCGCCGCGTGAGGAATCAGATGACGGTAGAAGCCTTCTATTCCTTGAGTGAGGACGATACAGTGTACTCCATGATTGTACGCACTTTATCTTCACAAGGTAGAATACGCTCATGCTTCATGCTGTGACCCAAAAATTTTATTTCTGCCTTGCCCAGTTCACACTTGTCTGGGTTAACTACTACGCCATTAACCGAAAGGCGTTGGAATAAGAGCGTAAGGTGTTGATAATGTTCATCTACGTCTGATGATGCGAGTAGCAGATCATCAGTATAGACGTGAACAAAATCGAAGTCTCGTAATATGCTATCGATAAACCCTTGAAAAGTTTGAGCAGCATTTCGTAGTCCAAATGGCATTCTTAGGAACTCAAAAAGACCGAAAGGAGTCGTGATAGCAGTTTTTCAGTATCTTCAAGAGCGACTGGGATCGGATGATATGCTCGTACCAGATAAATCTTAGAATAGACAGTCGTGCCCTTAAGAGATGCCGTGATGTCGTATATGTGGGGGATGGAATCGCTATCGAAACTTGTTACTACGTTTTATGTTCGGTAGTCGCCATATGGTCGCCAAATTATCCCATCCTTTTTGCGAACCATGTGGAGTGGTGAGGCCCCAGGACTGTGAAAAGGACGAATAATACCTGTAGCAAACAAATTGTCAAGCTCACGTTTGGCGAAATCTAATTTGTCCAGTGACAGTCGGCGAGGTCGTGTCGTGACTGGCGGCCCACGGGTGACGTAGTGGTGTGTTACATGACGAGTAACCGATAGATTCTCCTCGAGTGGTTTGTTTGCTGGGAAAATTTTTCCAGTAAAACGTGAAAAATGTCATCACGCGAAGGAAATACCCCTGTAATTCGGTACGCACCTGTTTGAGCCCATAAATTTACCGTTCGACGAAGTATCGATTAGCTGCAGCCTACGTGAATCAACTAGCAATTCATAGTGCTGCAGGAAATCGATACCGAGTATGGCTGTGGGGATATCAGCAAGGATGAACGTCTACAGATACTGTCATCGGTTGCTCAGGTTGACCGTCAGCTTTCGTGTACCACAGGCAGGGATGACAGAGCCATTAACAGCGCGTAGTCGAAGCATCATAGGTTGAGACTTTCTGTTATCTAGTGGTACGACAGAAACTTGGGCACCTGTGTCCTGCCAATGATTGCAGGAGCGTGAAGTGGTGGCTAGGCTTATCATCACCCAAGGGGTGACTTGCTAAAATTGTCCTCAGTCGTTCCTCCCTGGATAGGAGGAAGTGTCGCAGAATCGCCTGCTTGAGTCGATCGTATACATCTGGTACACCAGAGTTGAGGACTACCTCACGGACGGCGGCTATGTGACCTCCCTGAGATTCCAGGGAGTAGGCATACATATGCCGCTGGTTCGTAATGCGGAGGATCTCAAAACGAGATTCCAGTGCCGCAAACCAGACCTCTGGACCTAGGCGGATAAAGGCTACAGGTCGAAAACTTAGAATTAGTATCTGTGAGTCTGTTAAAATATCGTCATTTTTAAGTCTATCTACCATTTTTGAACGCTGTTGTAGTTATTATGTATATATATATATATATATATATATATATAT